GAATTTGGCATGGGTCGTCAAACCGGTAGTAAGTTCCGGCTGGCCATGCCCACCACCCAGTCACCCTCCCACCCGATGCTCGCTCACCCCGCCCTCCTGCCTGACATTCACCTAAGGTATTTCTTTCTTTTTTCCCCTCCTGATAATCAGCTGTAGATAAGATCAGCTGTGCCGGGATTTCCCTTGCTGAGGTCCAGAAAGGCAAAAAATGGAGGGAGGAGCTCAGCCCCCTCTCCATTTTTTGCCTTCCAGAGTCCCAGAGGAGCCTTAGGAGAACAAAAACGCCCCCAGAGGCTCTTCTGAGGCTAGGAAGCTCCCAAAACGGAGCTTGGAGGAGTGCTTTGCACCCCTCCCATGCTCTGTTCCTTTTCTTCCAGAGCCCCAGAGGAGCCTTAGGGGAGCAAAAATGCCCCCCCTCCGAGGCTCCTCTGTGGCTAAGAAGCTCCCCAAAACAGGTGGGGGCTGCAAAAAATAAGCCACACCCACCAAGTTACATGGCCACACCCACCAAGCCACGCCCGCAGAACCAGTAGTAAAAGTTTTTGAATCCCACCCCTGCTTAAAACAGATGCACGAGAAACTCAAATCTATGATGAAAAGCTAGTAGTTAAGGCACCAGGCTAGAAACCAGGAGACTGTGAGTTCTAGTCCCACCATAGCCATGAAAGCCAACTGGGTGGCTTTGGCTCAGTCACTCTCTTGCAGCCCAGTTCAACTCACGAGATTGCTTTTGTGGGGAAAATAGAAGAAGGAAGGTATGTTGGATATGTTCACCACCTTCAGATGCTTGTAAAAGTAATAAAGGTGGAATATAAACAAATAACAAACAAATATCTAAAGCAGAAAACAATCTAGATCATTACAAAGGATACCCTCAAACTAATATTCATTATTGCAGTGAATGCCTTCTCCATCTTCAGTCCCATTGTTTGAAAAACCTAGTAAATTATCTGCAGTGTACAGGTTGACTTACAACAGTTCATTTAATGACTGTTCAAAGTTACAATGGCACTTTAAAAAGTGACTTATGACTATTTTTCACATTTACGACTGTTGCAGCATCCCCATAGTCACACGGTCAAAATTTAGACACTTGGCAATTGACTATGTTTATGATGGTTGTAATCAGTGATGGGATTCAAAAAAAATTACTATCGGTTCTGTGGGCATGGCTTGATGGGCGTGGCATGGCCTGGTGGGTGTGGCGGGGGAAGGATACTGCAAAATCCCTTTCCCTCCCTACCCCACTAACCTGCTTTCCAGATCTGTTCTCCTATGCAGGACAACAAAAAAAGACACAGCTGATCACTGGGACTCGAGGCAGAGAATAGATGGGGACAGGGCCAGTCAGAGGTGGTATTGGCTGGTTCTCCGAACTACACAAAATTTCCACTACTGGTTCTCCAGAACTGGTCAGAACCTGCTGAATACCACCTCCGGTTTTAATGTCCCGGGATCATGTGATCCCCTTTTGTGACCTTCTGATGAAAAAATTCAAGGTTCATTTAATAACTATGCTACTAACTTAAACAACTGCAGTGATTCGCTTAAAAACTGTGATAAGAAAGTTTCTAAAATTCACTTAACAACTGTCTTGCTCAGCAACAAAAAAATGGGACTAAGTTGTGGTCATAAGTTGAGGACTACCTGTAATTATCATCAGCAGAAACTATTGTTAAGCTGTGGTTAGGCAAGGAAAGTGGAAATCTATCTTTAAGGAAGTATTTCTCAACTTCAGCACCTTTAAGGTGCTGGACTTCACCTCCACAGATGGCTGGCTAGGGAATTCTGGGCATTGAAGTCCTACATCTTAAAGTTGTTGAAGTTGAAAAATATTGCTTTAAAGCAGGGGTCTCCAACCTTGTCAACTTTAAGACTTGTGGACTTCAACTCCCAGAGTTCCTCAGCCAGCAAACTCTGCTGTGCTGTAACATTAATCTCCTATACTTTGCCATAACTCATAAACATGCACTCCAAGGGGAATCATTTCAGAGGAAGTGTTGTGTCACGTCCTCTAGATTAGAACCACACCCACTCATAGGATGATACCTTTGAACAAGTTGTTATTCCTAGCCAGACCCAGGACAAAAGTCACCGTGACTCAGACTGAGTGCCTCTATGACTAGATGTTGAAGAATCACTTGAAAGACATGGTCAGGTCCAATGGTGGGATTCAAATTTTTTTACTACCGGTTCTGTGGGTGTGGCTTGGTGGGCGTGGCAGGGGAAGGATACTGTAAAATCTCCAGTCAGAGGTGGAATTTGCCGGTTCTCCGAACTACTCAAAATTTCCACTACCAGTTCTCCAGAACTGGTCAGAACCTGCTGAATACACCTCTGGTCAGGTCAGGCCTTCCTGGTTTGGTTAGTCGTTTCTATAGTTACCAGTGGTGGTATTCTACCGGTTCGGCCAGGTTCTACTGAACCGGTAGCGGCGATGAGCAACAGAGACCAAACTGGTTCGCTCCACCGCTCTGCTGTTGGGCCCACCTGCCCACCCGGGCTCCCATATTCACCTTTATCCTCTGCTTTTGAAGCACAGCTGCTTTGTGCATCACAGCAGAGTGCTGCGTGGCAGCTGCTGAAGCAATCGGGACAGTGCAGGCTTGCAGAAGGTGAGTTGGAACACCTCTGCACCTGCACAAAGTGCCCGTTTGGTGCCTGCGCACATGCAAAGTGTGTGCACGTGTGTGTGCACCAAGCCACATCCATCAAAACGGTGGTAAAACTTTTTGAATCCCACCACTGATATTTATCCACCCTTCAGAAAATGCCTTGAGTTGATAAACTTCCCAGTAATTTGACTCATATTTTGCTCGTTTGTAACATAAACCACAAAAATCTGACTTGTGGATAAGGCTTCTAAATCATAAGTAATAGTTCATATAGCCAAAGGCGAAAATAAATAACACTAAATCAACCAAGGCACATTACATCTCAATCTATTATGTGATTAGATATATGTACATATAGCACCACCTCACACTTTCTATGGTAGATTTGTTCAACATTATGGCTGTCCAGATGTTCTAACTCCTTTATATTTGAAAAATAATGGCTTATTTTCTAATTTGGCTTATTTCAAAAGAAGTATACCACCAGAAACAGGCTCTCCAGATATTGAAATCACTATCAGATAGTTGACATACAAATCTCTCTCTTTTTTTTTAAGGAATTGAGAAGACTCTGGAAAGGGAAGCTGGTCTTCTTGAAGGTAATTATTGAGATTATTCAAATTAAGTTCTTAATAACTATTTGTGGTAGAAATCTCTCCAGCTCAAAAATATTAAAAAAATGGGTGCTGTACAGTCCAGTTTGTTTGCTAGGATTGGAGATGTATGTCAACACTGAAGTTGACCTGCATTTAGATAATAAATCTGTTGGTCTAAATCAGTAGTCCCCAAACTTGGCAACTTTAAGACTTGCGGACTTCAACTTGCTAGCTGAGGAATTCTGGGAGTTGAAGTCTATAAGTCTTAAAGCTGCCAGGCTTGGAGACCTCTGGTCTAAATGCAGATATGTAGAGCCAGAAGAGCAAAAGGGTAGCTTTCCTCATCGTGGCAAATCTATTGTAGCTGATCTTCTCTGTCAAGGAACGATGAATAGATTACCAGGTTATCTGACCTACAGCATGAAGCTGGTGAGGAAAAAATGGCAAGTGAATGTGTTTATCCAAATCCATATTTTGTTTTTCTGTCTATGAGATGAATTCAGGCTAGGAATTTTTAGGAAGAGGAGTGGAGGTTGAGTTTTCTTCCTAATATTGAATTAATGTTAATATATTTTATTTTTATTTATTACTAAATAATATTTAATAACAAGTATTTATTAAATTTATAGGCTGCCCAACTCACACAACAGTGATTCCAGACAACTTACAATATTAAAAACCAACAACATAAAATCAATAAAACCCCATCCCACTCCACCCGATGGGAACAATAACATTATCAAATCAACCACTTGATCAACTCTATCTCCATTCACGATCTCCAGATCACTTACATAACCATATCTTTAGGGTCTTTTGAAAAGCAACAAGCTGGGGCCCAATTGTATCTCAGGAGAAATGATATTGCATAGAGAAGGGATTAGCACCAAGAAGGTCCTTTTATATGGTCCCACCAGAAGTACATCCCTAATAGATGCGACCTGTAAGGCTGTAACATACCCTGCCTGCCTGTTCTGGAGGCTGAGTGGATGTAATTGGGAAGAAGCAGTCATAGTAGATAACAAATGTAAATGTGATACTTAAACACCTCAGGGCATAAAATGAGTACAGTATGTTATGCTTGTCAACTGGAAAGTCAACAGGTTCAACAGGTGAGCTCCCATTACTTGCTTTTAATGACTGAAAACTTTTGTTTAAATGTATTTATTTATTAAATTTATACATTGTAAACTGATAGTTCGCAATTTAAGTAACAAATTACAAACATGAGGGGTTAGTGCACTGACCGTCTTTAAGAATTACTGAATATATAAGCTGCTTTTGATAAATCAGTATGTTGATATTGTATTACATAAAAGTAAAAAACAGATGTTTTCCTGTGTGAACTAAACTTCATCACACCATTAATCATGACTTAATCAAGACTTCAGCAACAGAGTGGTCAATATCTGGAATACTCTACCAGACTCTGGTTTCTTCCCCAAACCCCAAAAACTTTAACCTTAGACTTTCTACTATTGACCTCACCCTTTTCCTAAGAGGTCTGTAGGGGGCGTGCATAAGCACACAAACGTGCCTACCGTCCCTGTCCTATTGTTTCTTTTATTTTTCTTATATGTATCCATGTATTCATAACTATGTTTTTACTTATACCTATTATCTTGTAAGCAATTGACAAACCAAGTAGAATAAATAAAATAAATAAATTAAATAAGGAACATTTGAGATTTCATTTCAAAAGCAATGAAACATTTTATTGATTTTTAAGGTATGTTAATAAATGTTGCTTAATCCAAAAGATAATAGAAAACAGTAACAAACCAACATTTTCTAAAGAAATCATTTAATAAATATATTTCAACACTACATTTTCCAACAGTCCTTTCATCTCTCCCTTCTTCGAGCTCATCTATGGAAAATACAATTAATAACTGAAAGATAATAAATATAAAAATAATGTCATAAACACTTGTTCTGAGCACAGACTGTCTTTTTGGTTTTTACTAAAAAGCAATCCACCTTCTCAAAAATTTACATCTCACCCTTGAGTTTCAATCTCAGGATCTACCATTCCTACCATAACATTGCTGTAGTAGGGTGATACAAGCAAACGTTGATTTGAAGTAATTTATAGCAAAAATGAACTGAATTCAGACAGGAACTTCCCTTCACAAGTGAGCTGATAACCTCTCCTTTCTTGAGTATGTCTGGCTTTAACATGCTGTCTTTAGGAATTTTGAATGGCTCTAGAGAGAAATAAATTTATTCTATAATTACACAGTTAAAATTCTCAATGTTCTTTATTATTGGTATTCAGACTAATTCTCCATATTGGATCATAACAACATAAGCATCTCTAGATAATTAACCTTACCATATTAAGGAGTGCCAGTTTGGTGTAGTGATTAAGGCCTCAGCTAAAAATTGAGAATCTGTGAGTTCTTGTCCCGCCTTATGTACAAAGCCAGCTGGATGGTCTTGGACCAGTCACTCTCTCTCAACCCTTCCAAAATCCTGCCAAGAAAAATACAGGGACTTTTTCTGGCAGTCCCCAGGAGTCAAAGCTGATTCAAAGGCACATGTGCGCATATCACATTAATATATTTTCTCCCTGCCTCTTCAGCGGACAAGGTCCCCATTAAATGAATGGTGCTGTGCTGTAGCAATTGCTGGTTTGTGATGGATGTGCTTTTATTTCAGAGGTAGCCATGCTTGGATGGTTTTACTTGGCAGCGAGGAAGCAAGAAGGTGGAATAATACAAAAGCCAGGAAAAAAATGAATTTGCTATCAGATCTGCTGCAGTGCCTACCTAGTTTTAGTTTTTAAAATCTCAGGCTGTAAAGTAATATGCCAGATGCATTTAAGATGATGATCAGAATACAAATGGACATAGGACCAGTAGGGTAAAAAGTGAATAGATTTAGAATTGGGACAGTGCTGACTACATGATAATATTCATCGACGAGTGCTGGCTTTAATGTTCCTAGTGATCTGAGCATCTGATTATCTGCTGATGCTGCTGATATCTATCTAGCCACTTCAACAGATGATATTGTAAGAATAAGACTTAGCAGTGCACACTTAAGAAAAACAACTGGTTGGTTAGGAAGAAGGCAACTATAGGAGTTCCCCTTTCCATAGGAAACAGGTTGTGTTTTTTCAGGCTCATCTCACTTTATTGTTTGGAATGTTCTTTCAGAGAGCATAGAATTGCTGTTCCCAATCCAGTATACTCATTTGTTTCAAAAAATAAACCAAACGTATAGATGATATCCCTTCTTCCATGCATGAGGCCATGCTTACTGTATTGCGGCATGCACCATCACAGTAATCACAATCGTGATTCCAGATCAGCTGTGTTGACCAATCTAATATAGATTGATTTTTCTCAGTTCTGGAGATTATACGGCGTATTTGTGATCGATAAAAGTCTGGATGTGTCCCCAAGTTCCTAAAGGACAGAGAGATCATGGCAAGATTTGGACTTCAGTTTGAAAGCCATATTCTTGTTTTTTCGGGCTACAATCTTCCCCCAGAATCGCCTCGCCTTCTTAGGGATGGTCTCTTTTCTCTTTTGATAGGCCAGCCTCTTCTCGTTCTTTTCTCTGCTGTCTCTTCTCAGACGAACTTGGCGTACGATGCCTTCAAACAGCTCCCTGACATTATGCTGTACAGCTGCTGAGGTCTCAATGAACTTACAATCAAACACTACTGCACAGGCTCGGCCCTCTGGAAAATATTTGAAGACAAAATAATTCAGTATTACTAGAAAGTAGTGTTCTTCAAACTTAGAAACATTTAAGATATGTGGGCTTCGATTCCCAGAATGTCCCCAGGAAGCAAAACACTGACTTAAACAATAAAAAGGGGAAAGAAAAAAAATCTACCTGAGTAACATCTGTTTCAGTAGTGCCACTTCATGACAGGTAGTCCCTGACTTACGACCACAGTTGAGCCCGAACTTTCTGGTGCTAAGTGAATTTTGCCCCAGCTTTCTTGCTAAGTTGCTAAGTGAATCACTGCAATTGTTAAGTTAGTAACACAGTTGTAAATCTGACAATTTGCTTGTCAGAAGGTTGAAAAAGATGCTCACGAGCCTGGGACATAAATATGAACAAGTTGCCAAGAACTTGAATTTTGATCACATGACCATGGGGATGCTGCAATGGTCATAAGTGTGAAAAACAGTCATAAATCACCTTTTTCAGTTCAACTTCAAATGGTCACTAAACAAACTGTTGCAAGTTGAAGACTACCTGTACTGTCAATGGATTCTCTTTTGGAATTCAAAACACCTTTACCATCCCCACTCATAATTATTGTGCAAACAAGTCATAATGTAGATATGCCTCCAACTCTGAAGAGTTGAAGCAAAAATACTTGAAGAATAACATCCTTACCTGAAACGGAAACTTCACGGCGCCTTACTAGATCGCTTTTGTTGCCCACTAAAATAATAGGAAGGTCTTCCATCTGCCGTGCTCTGCGGAGCTGAATCCTTAGCTCAGATGCTCTTTCAAAGCTTGCCCGGTCCGTGATGGAATAGACAATTACATATGCATCTCCAACTTTCATGCACTGATCTTGGAGCCATCCATTTTCATTCTACTCAAATAAAAAGAGATCTGGAGTCAGAGGTTTAGGCTTCATACCTGGAAGCCCATCATCTGCAGGAGAAAAGCTAAATATTGCTGGTTACTTAATCATAAAGCTTTCATTATTTTAACTGCATTGTTCATATTTGTAAACAAGCATTATATTACAAGGTCCCTTGCATATAAAATTTGCTTTTGATTTGCAAATCTTTTTCACCAAATTCAGACATAAAATGCATTCAGTACCTCAGGGGTATTTAATTTAAATGGGGTTCTATCTTACGGTTAGAATTTTTGAAATTATCTGATGGGCAAACATACAAAATGGCTGCTGTGGAAGACTCGCCTATTACTAAAATTGCTGACAAGATTCCCAAAGTATTTCTGTGTGTTCACTTGCAACACTCCTTATTGTTATAGCAATGCATGTCTACAAAACAATCAGTGAATTGGATCCAGGTGTAGATACATATAATAGGTGATATAATTGTCCTTCCTTGCCCTCATAGTCAAATCATCCCTATAAACCCCTGAAATTGTTCTGCTTATGGGTGGAATTCCACTCATTTAGAAAGGTATCTCTTCCTCTGTACAGTTTACACCATATCACTTTCCATTCCTTGAGCAGAATTCTCATACACTCTGTTTAGCATGTGGGAATGGGCTGTGAAAGAGATTCTACTACCTTACTAAATATGCCCAGATCTTAATCCAAGTCAATCATGTACAGTACTTGTTTATTGGGACTTAAATTGCAACCCATAGCCCAATTAAATGGAGTCCTTAGAATGCATCTAGCCAAGACCAGTTCGGAAAAACTATTAGACATATGGTCCTACAAATGCCACTCTTAGTTTTCCAAAATGAATGGGGAAGTAATTTTAAGAATTACAATAGGAATCAAAACATACCACTGCAAATATTGACTGTTTCCCCTATGCAGAATCTTAGGAAGTGATAAGGGTAGCGAATAGGAAGCCGCTAGGAAACCTCAGGACTACAGGATGGCCAAAGCATCCTAGAAGAAGTAGAGAACGAGTGGAAATTTTCCTGGCTCTTATTCATAACTATGGCATACCTCCAATTTGAGGCCGTGGTGATTTATTAACTTAGTAATAAATAAAGGATTTTATAAGCTTTAACTTTAGCCAGAATTATTAGTTGTGACTTGTCTGCTAGAAGTAACATTTCTTTAACACCTGCAAGTAAGAGCTAGAAGGGTCCACTCTGACCTCAAATGTCTCCTATATAGACTAACTAACAGGTTGAGACTCAGCTAAGGTATGTTGCAAGCAAACCCATTACTGGAATCAAGGAAGGCAACATGATATTTAGCTTAAGCAATGGTTAGAGGTGTCCAGACAAAGGTGCAGAAGTAAATAAAGCTCATAATTAGCACACTAAAAAATACACTCAGGAGTAGTCAATTTATATGATAAGTGGACTTAAATAATGGAGTATTATGGGATGACTTTGTTTTGTGCATATGTGTGACTGTCATGTAATTTTGTAACCAATCAGGGTTTCTCTTACTTTTGTTCCTTCTATTAAATTGTATAAAAATGACTGTGCCTGATTTTTGGATCTCTCCTTGGGCAAAAGCCCAGAAGCATCCTCTTCTTCTGTAGACCAATAAAAGAGTTTTGTATTTCCTGGATCCTATGTGCTTTTTCACACCAGGTTCCCATATCTAGCCAGCTTTCTGGCCAACACAAGTGAACAGCAAATTATTTCTATATTTAACATGGATGGACCCATGTAGTGGTCAGTTTGACAGCATCTTTACTTTTATCTCTAATACTTTGAGTTCAGTCTTAATTTATACAAATTTGTATATTAAAACAGGGATAAGCAAAGTAGCTTTCAGTTTGGAAATGCAAGATTGCAACTACACACACACATCAGAGGTGGTATTCAGCAGGGTCTAAACAATTCTGGAGACCCAGTAACGGAAATTTTGAGTAGTTCGGAGAACCGGCAAATATCACCTCTGACTGGAGATTTTACAGTATCTTTCCCCTGCCATGCCCACCAAGCCACGCCCACAGACCCCTCCCCACAGGTAATAAAAAAATTGCATCCAACCACTGTCACACATGTACACACACACCCAATATGCCAAATATCAAGCAATAGTACTTAGAAGTTAATTTTAAAAACTTGTTTATAGTGTGCTGGAAAGCAGGGATGGGACTAGCTATTTCCAAACTGAAAGAAAATCCATCGCCCTGGTGCTGTGTGAAAAAATAGCAACCTGATCTTAGTTAGAACTGAGAGCTGGTTATTCAAAACTGGTCTCGAAGTTCTTAACTGGGCACTTTGTGCCATCACAACCTTCAGGAACAACAAAATAAGTACATTCAGACTTTTAGCCTACACACACACACACACACACACAGAGTATCCAATATGACAGCTGTGTATTTAATTGTTTAGTACAGTCTGTTCCTGTGCACAAAATAAAAATTTATTCAAGAAGTAACTGATGGCCACAGACGTTCCTTGAAGTTTGGCTTCTCAATATTTCTAATTGTGCTTGCTGTTAAATTTAGGGACTTTTTTTTTAAAAAAAGAATGCATTTATGTAACTATGTCATGGGTGTCAAACTCACGTTGTCACAGCAGTGTCCTGTGATGTATTGGGACTTTATTCCCCTTCGCTAAAACTGGGCATGGCCAGCACATGACACATCCAACCCACGTGCCGGGAGTTTGACAGTCCTGGACTATGTATGTTGCTCAGCAAAATTAAAGAATGAAAAAATAAATACTTCTGCCTGACAAAATGGTTTTGCACACTACCTTGTTTTCCCAAACGTCCAAAAGCATTATGTTTGCACTTTCACCATCTACCTGCAAAGTTCGTTCGTAGGTGTCTTCTAGAATGGGGAACATAAAAATATGTGACATTCTTTTAGTTTTCCTTGTCACTAGAGTTTAATGTCAGGCAAAATAAAAGTTAGAAATGTAAAGATTCCTGCTTTGGCAGAAATTAAATAAATCATCCATACACTGTTGATTGTGGATGTCATACCAAAAGAGAAGAGACAACATTAAACTACTTCAGGTGGGAATAATTAGGTAGACTTTTAAGTTTAACAAATTGTACATCAATTACATTTTAACCAACAAAATGTGCTCTATGTAACAAAACAAGAATAAAACACTTTTCTGCATTGGGAGCCATATTTAAGCACTTGAGTAGCCAGCAAGGAGATGCACACAAGTATCTGGAGATGAGGATATACAATAAATCAACTTTCAATTTTATATTATTAACATTTAATTAAAATTAAATACAGTGTCTAGAACCCTCATCCAAGCACGTGATGATGTTTTCTTCAATTGCATTAAAAAAAACCATGATTAAAGAAACATTTGGAGGAGGCTTCTGCCTGTCAATTTTTTGTATCTTGGACTTTAGTGCTCATACTAATTGAACTCTGATGCAAGATAAGGCATGTTTTTCAACTGATTCGTTCACAGTCAGAAAATTTTTCTCAGGAATTATTTTCAGTTGCAGTTCAAATAAATAATATCGGAAAATATAGATGCCCTGTACCTATCAACAGGGCAGCTAAATCTATTTTGACTGTATTTCTGTTCTTTCCACTCCAGGCCATCATATCAGACAAACGTTAGGAGGTGGAGGGAAAACTTGTTACATCTGACGTCCTTATATATCAGACTCTGGCAAAGATCTGAACATTTCCATGAGTTCCAGAATTGTTATAATTTCCACGGTAGAAAAAAAGATGTAGCCTACAAGAAAAATGACTGCATTGACTTTTTGCTGGAGTTCTCTTTCTCCTAAGTAGGACAAGAAGAGTAGAAAGAAGATCCAAAAGGAAAAAAAAATAAAATAAAGCAAACATGACCTCTTGACCCCCATGGGAGCTGCAGGCAGTCCTGGAGACTCCAGTTAGGCTTAGTAATGGAAAATATTTGTTTCCACTCAATTTATGGGTGAGCAGGCATTACAGCTGCAAGCAACATAAGACAGCTTTATTCTGGAGCAAAAGTACATAGATTCAAGGGGTTAGCTTTTTTGAGAAAACGTTTGGCTGTTCCTACATAGAATACCAACAAATTAGCAATCCTCTTCCTTATATTTTTATTATAGCTTAAATGCTTCTTAAAGGATTTTACAAGGGTGTTAAAATTCCTGAGAGAGCAAAAGATTGCATGCATTTGCCTGTGATCTACTTTGTAGCAATTTTCCAAAACTGTAAAATCTTCCAAATATGTCAGGACTACAATTCCCAGAATCCCAACATCTTCATGTTCTAAAACAAATGCTCAGAAGGTTTCAGTTCCATATCTCAGTGAAGATGGTGCAAAAAGACCCCCAAATCTTGGTTTCCTCTCTGTCTTCTTGAATTTCTAACCCCAGTTCCAAGTGTAAGCAGTTTTGAAATCAGATTCTCAAGAGATATTTTTAAAGCACGTATACCCCACCTAGAGTTCCATAAGTTGCAATATAAATTCTTCATGGAATATATAAAGTGCTTATGCTATTGAATTTATGCTATTATTATTGCAGTGCCAATGTGTAAAATTTAAAATAATGCCCACCCATCACAAAAGGAAGATAGGACTTTAATTATTATATTTTTAGCAAATCTATTTTAAAAGTAAATTATTGGAAGAGAGGTGTACAGTGTATGATATGCTGTACATCCATTTCTAATGAAAGGATAAATTTTGACATATTGAAATAATCAAACGACGCTTTAAAAACTGCAGACCAATCAATCGAGGCTATCTTTTAGTTAATCAAAAGGCAAATCTGTCCCAGCCTCCACCAACCTGGTGCCTTCAGGAATGATGAAGTACAATATCCATCATGCTCAACCAAAGAATGGCTAATTATGATTAGTAGGGTTGTAGTCCAACACAGCTGGAGGATAGCAGGTTAAGGAAAACTGAAGTGAGTGAATAACTTCAGTAAGTCTAATTTATTTAAAAAAAGTCTTACTCTAATGCAGGGTTACTTGAAAGTGGATCTTATACTTCATTTGAGTCAGTATGTTCTCATTTCCATTGTTCCCACCTTACATTTCTCTGTTTATTACATTTGACTTTGAACATTTCTAGCTAGGCATATGTAAAATTATACTACAATAGTCCAATCCTTGATGTGTCTACTCAGAAGTAGGTCCACTGAGGTTGATTGTGCCATAGTCCCAGGTACATGCAAATATAATTTCAGAATTCATCTCTGAATTCAATGCTTGCAATGTTTTTTTAACATAAACTCTAATTTTGTTTGTTTGTAAAATACCTCATCCAAATCCTGGGACAGGTCACTTAATAGAAATATGTTTAAAAAGCATTTTAACGCCAAGTTTGTCTTCTGAGCTGATCTCATTTCTTTAATTTAAATGAGATTAATAATTTGTAGAAATGTTACTTTTCTCACATAAATACATTTCTTAAACCTTTCAACTGTTTCTATACCATTACTCTAGTTGCATATCAACTTTTTCTATAATGCATGTACTTTGAGAACTCATTAATAATGTCTCTTGCTTGAATTGAAAATATCATGAAGTAGCTGGAATTCTGCACATGTTGAATGTTTATGAAAATTTTCCAGAAGCGCTAACTCCTACATAGCAAGTATCAGCAGCTTTTATAATGATCACCCTTAAGACACATGATCTTAATGGAAAATTATGTACCTAAAAATGAAACATAAGCATTTTGGTGGATTTATGAGAAAAAAACCCCAACAGTTTTAATTTCTGTTTCTCATTTATCACACATCAAGTTCAGCTTTTCTCAGATTTGCACATACGTGCAGTTTGGTTTGTTGAGAATTTTCTTTTAAAGTTTGCACTAACATTGGGATTTATTGGGGGTACATTTCTCAAAGCATGGATCTTTTGTTCTCACTGTGATCTAACGTACACAGTTTCTACAAACAAGTTTTCCTTATATCACACATTTTTGTACATGCATTTTTGTACATTGTATTTACAAATATATACATTATTCTTTGAAGGTTGATTCAGCCGTCCATCCTTCTGAGGTGAGTAAAATGAGGAGCCAAAATTGGGGGTAATATGCTGACTCTGTAAACTGCTTAAAGAGGGCTGTAAAGCATTATAAAGCGGTACATAAGTCTAAGTGCTATTGCTATTATTCAACAAACATTTCCCTAGAATACTTTTTTTTCAAAAGGCATACTATATTAGGTTGAGAGCTCAATTTGTGTATTCATTAAAAAAAGAAAAGCAAAATTAAATTAAGTTGGCATTCCCATGCAAACTCAAAATAACTCTTTAGAACCCTCAGCTGACTCTGCCATCTTCCTTAATAGAGAACCACATTCTGAAATCACTCGGGAGGCTACAGCATTATGATTTCAAGATCAGGAATGCAGAATGTATGTGTTTTATTCTTGCTTGCTCCCAGAAGACTCTTACCCAGAAAGTTTTAACTAAGCGGGGAGGGGAGGCGGAGACAAGGAACAAACTTACCTCCCAGAAGCTCACAATCGCTATCCAGGCTGTCATGCACACCTGCAAAGACACTTGCAATGGTGGTTTTGCCAACTCCTTGTTCCCCTATGAGAACCACTCGGTAGATGTTTCCTGACTCAGTAGAGATGACAGAATCTGAGGACTCTGATGACCAGCTTTTGCGGCAATACTCTTCATGGCTGAGGGTGTACCTTTTCTGGCGGTTTGCCTCTTGGGTCTCTTTCTGCACTACCAGATGCTTCCCATCTGTTGGAACACTCCAACGTTGTTGCTGAGGTTGCAAGGCACCACAACTACTGGCACTGTTGCGACGCATGGTGACATTGTTCAGGGTCATGGCTCTTTCCCTTCAAGGCTAGAAAACAGCAACAGTGAAATGGTGAACACTACAAGTACCAGTAGGTTGCATACATTGTCTGTCTGACATGGGAAATGCCCACATGTGAAACCCTTGATGAGCATTGCCTGGAGGGTCTATGACAACTCGCCATGGCCAAATTGCTGCAGCCAACTTGCCACAGCCAACTTGCTATGGCACAACCACCATGGCTAACTCACCACAGGACAACTCACCGCAGGACCATAGCTACACTAATAATGAAGAAATAGTGGAATAGAATCATTAAAGAAAGGATGCTGAAGGATGCCAATTAAATTGAACTGTTGAATTGTCCCACAGAGAGTTGTCCTGTGGTGAGTTGGCTATGGCAAGTTGTCCAAATTCCCTGCCTGAAAGTAGCTTCAAAGAACTAAAATAGGAGAAAGATGTTCATAGCAGTGGAAATTCCTCCTTCAGAGGCAGTTGAGGGCTTGGGAATTGTAACAACTGCTCACCAATAAAAATACCTCAAACTTGAATTCAAAACCTGGTTTGTTTCCTCCACCTGATCAGGTGATCTGTGGATGGCTGTTGCTCTCAATAAGATGCAGACCAAGTGGCAGTAAAGTACCATCTAAAAAAGCCATCCAAAGCAACCAAGAAACATAGTTTTACTGCATAAGGGAGCACTTAATAGAAACCCACACATCCTGGAAGAAGAGGCCAAGACCTTTGAAAATGCCACTTTGTTTCTGCTCCCTATACTCCTGAAAAGCAGCCCTGCAGCCACAAGTGGGCAACCAGGGGCTACAGAAGAAAGAAGGGATGGCAAGCATCCCTATCTCATCTAACCGTCTTTAAGAAACAGTAAAAGTACACCTAAGTTACTTCCTAAGGATCAGTTAACAACACAAAGCTTGTCATGTGGAGGAGGAAATAGTTCAAAAGTGTAGCCATGCTAGGTCTGTGGTGTAAGAATTCCCTTCTACTGTAAAAGGCTGTAATTCATCTCAAGAGCAATAAGCCAGGACTATCCTCCCTTGCCTACAGATAGTTTATAACTTTACAGGATGGGTTGTTCAGCACCGGTAAGAAACATTGCTGTGAGGCAATTCTTGAGGGCCAGAAACTTTTGCAGCTACCATTTTTAGGAAAGTTGCCTTGATGCTCACCAGCTCTGGTCATGACAGCTATTTAGACATTTGGCTTATTTAGGCTAAAGCCTGGTTCTTGGTTTTTTCTCAGCTGACGTGATACCTTTAGAAGCTAACGGGCAGAATAGAAGAGAAGACCAATGGCCCTTTTCCAAAGGGAACCTAAGAGTTCTGCATTTGCAGGACAGCTCTCCTTCAAAGTGAGCATTTGGTCTATCATTCAGCAACGAGTCCCATGAAGGGGAATCCCACCACTTTGGAAGCTAAGGCATGCAAGCAAAACATTTAAGACACAAACACTTCTCTATCATTTGCAACTCCCTGCAAAAGCCCCAAACTTGAGATACCCGAGGGATGTAAAGGAATGCCATACAGAAAAGCACATGCAAAACAAGGCTATCCATTTTCTGCTCTGCTCACAGGAACTTTCTCAAGCAAGAATAGTATCAAACTCCTGCATATTGAGTACACTTCTCGCTCAATCTAGTCAAAAAATATCACTTCTTAGAAACAGACAGAATCAAATTGATTTCTACAGCTAGTCTTTTCCTCATGGTGTGCAACCAACTGAAGAGTTAACCATCTGAGTTCAGTGAAGAAATACAAGCTAGTTCTGATGCAACTTTTAACTTCTATTTCAAATAACCCCCCTCTTTTTTTCTTTTTGCTCTCTATATACAAGTCTGCTTTGGTGCTTAAAAGAAGGCTTATTAATTTGCTGTTGGTAAAGAAACACTACCTTGTTGGATGGTTGGTTGGGTTTTTTCCTGATTGTCTTTTGCAGCCAGGTGATGATCTTGATCAAACTCCCTTAGTTCTCAAAGTATGAAACACCAGGCAAATCTCCCACAGAAAATCCTTCATCTGTTCAAGGACTGCCTCCCTTAATTCTTTCTCAACAAACCTGGTTTATATTAAGCCCATCTGATCAGAGACAGGGCTTTTCCGTGACGTCATTGGCCTGTCCTCCCAAGAGCCAGCCCCCATCTGGACGGAAGCAGGCATGCAGAAAAGGGGGAAGGAGGGAGAGAGGAGGAGAGAAGTTACTGATGCTAACAAAATGTAGTTAAGTTTCTTTCTTCTGCTGTTCTTTAAATCTTCATTATGCTTGTTAAGAGCCAGTTCTGCAAGAGGAAAGCAGAAATGCACACATGCACACAACTCCTTTCTTGGGGGAGGGGAGGGGAGGGGGTAGAATGCCACTAAAATGAACCATCTGTTTGAATCCTTTTGGATTCATTAATGCAAGCAATATTGCATGAATCTTAATTGCCTGAGAGTTGTGTTGTGGGAGAAATTGCTCTCTTTCAAACATGGGCAAGCTATTTACCCACAAATATCTCCAGGCTCCGTTTGTTTAACTTTATTATAAAAAACATCAGGGAAGTGATATACTGCAAAACAAAATTTCAGTCTCTGGCATCTTATTTATTTGCAGAAAAATCTTTTGATCATAATATTCCCTTGCCTTTGGGTATCTGGCTGCATCCTAATCTCAAAATATTTACTTTTATTTATTTTATTTATTAGATTTGTATTGACTTCTATTCACCATGGCAACTCAAGGCGGCTTGCTACATATAAAACCACAATTTAAAACAATAAAACTTGTAAAATCAAATAAATTAATATAGTAAAATTACCCCCCACCTCCCTCCCAGCAACAGGATATTATACAAGCCATTTAATGGGCTCCATCCCACTCTGGGTTCCCCAGGCCTGCTGGCAGAACCAGGTCTTCAACGCCTTCCAGAAGAGAATCAGAGGGGGGGGCAATCTAATCTCTGGGGGAATGATATTCGAGAGAGAAGAAGCCACCATGGAGAAGGCCCTTCTTCTGGGTCCCACCAGGTATATCTCTCTAAGGATGGGACCCACAACATTCCCTACCTCCCTGTTCTGATGGGTTGGGTAGATGTGACCGGCAAGAGACAGTCCCTCAGATAGCTTGGTCCCAAGCCATGAAGAACTTACTACAAATTGCAATAAATCTTTATTATGGTCATATACCAGCGTAAGGAAGATGGGGTACAGTCATTAGAAAAACATAAAGGATACAAAAGAGTAGAAATAAAACTCGTCTAGACGCTATACAGGTACTTCATATTTATAGTCTTTGCATATATCTAAAGCAAAGGAGAGCTGATGTAGACTTATAAGCACAGTCAAAGTTTTTACATAGCACCTGCTTTTTTAACAACTGAGTTGCCAGTCCCAATTGGGGTCACTAAAGAAGGACTTCCTGTAAATTAATTAAAAAATAAAAGTATATATAGAAAGCAAGAATCTAAAATAAGGAGTAGGAGCATTAATTGGGTATGGGGAGCATATAAGGTTAGTATGTGGAAGGCTATATCAAGTTAGAAAGCACGCTAATATTGTATATCAAACTAGGTGCTCCTTAAATCTGGTTTATAGCACAGGTCATCATCCAATGAACTTACCACTACAAAAGTTATGTATCTATTGTAAATCTGTTTAGCCTCATTATACATCTATACATGCAATACTACCCAGATTGTTGGGGGAAATGTGCCAATAAGGCTTACACTGTAAGCCAGGAGTGTCAAACTCAAGGCTCGCAGGCTGCATCCAGCCCACAGGATGCTGAGATCTGGCCCTTAGGGCCACCCTGGAAACAGCAAAGGAGTGGCCCGCAGTGCCTCTGCCAGTGAAAACAGAATGGCAGAGGGTTGAAGGGAGCTGTCACAGCCTCCCAAGCTCCATTTTGGGCCATCATAGGTGCCCCCAACACAAGTGATGTTGAGCTGGCCACGCCCGCCCTGGCCATGCCCATCCGTCTCCCAAGGTCCAACACAACCCTGATGCGGCCCTCAATGAAACTGAGTTTGACACCACTGCTGTAAACCAACCAGAGAGTGCTGTAAAGCATTATGGGGCAGTATGTAAGTCTAAATGCTCTTGCTATTTGTTACAGCAAATAAACTTGTTTTTTTTCTTAAGAGAAAGGTTATGCCGTGCTAAGAAATCACATTGCTCAAAGGGTGCTCGGTTCTTTGACTAACTTCGTAGCTGGCTGTATTTCTGGCTGTGCTCAATTTCCCAGAAATCTCCTGGCTGACTAGCAGCTGGATTGTCTTGTTCTTCACTTTCTGTTAATATTCTTTAATGATTTCCACTTCCAGTGTTGAACAGTGAGCCAACCTTTGCATCAGAAGAGGCAAGAAGTTTACAGGCACTTGGGTCGCTAAGAGATTAAATAATATATTGGAGGAGAAGATGGGAATTGTGCTAAACATTTCCAGAAATTATGCAGCACAGTTTATAGATGGGGGTTGGGAAATGTCGACCTGCACATTAAGTTAAAAGCACAACTTCCTCTTGAGTCTTTTGACTATAAAAGAAACAGAGTGATGGACAGGTCCGATCTAAGCACAAGGAGTGGGAGGGGGTAATCACTCCCGTGCAAACATCACCAAATCTGCTATTACCTGATATGTAGATTTGTTTCTTATACATGTAGTCCTTGACATACAACCACAATTGAGCTGCAAATTTATGTTGCTAAGTGAGACATTTGTTACATGGAATTTGCCCCATTTTACAACCTTTCTTGACCCAGTTTTTAAGTTAGTAACACAGTTGTTAAATGAATCTGACGTCCCCATTGACCTTGCTTGTCAGAAGGTTACAAAAGATAATCACTTGATCTCAGGACACTGCAATTATCATAAATGTGAGCCAGTTGCCAACTGTGTGAATTTTGATCACATGACCATGGAGATAACAGTCATTAGCGTGACAAATGACAAGTCACTTTGTAACTTTGAATGGTCATTAAATGAATTGTTGTAAGTCTAGGACATTGCAAAGCCATTTAATAACAGATTTTTTTTGACTCAAGTAAATTTGGTTGGGTTCACACATGCTTTGCCCAAACTAATGGTTTGGGTAAAGAGGACCAGGATAAGCTATTTCCCCCTTCTCAAAATAATACTACCAGAATTCACCCAATGAAACTGAATCCTGAAAGAATTAGGACATGTGAACTTTGGAATTTGCTTCCATGAGATGTGGCGCTGGCTATCAACTTGACTAATTCATGGAGAAACACTTGTTACTAGTTGTGATGTAGTGTGGCAGCCTCTGAAGCCACCTGCTGAGAGAGCTTCCTTGTGCTGTTGTTGGCCACTGTGAGAACAGAGTGCTAGATGGGTTCAGAGGTCAGGAATCTGATGCATCAGAGCATTGCTTAAGATGGGCAAGACAAGATGCACTCGTATTTACACCTGGAAAGGAAAGAAAAGGAGGGGAGGGGAGGGGAAGGGAAGGGAAGGGAAGGGAAGGGAAAGGAAAGGAAAGGAAAGGAAAGGAAGGGAAGGGAAGGGAAGGGAAGGGAAGGGAAGGGAAGGGAAGGGAAGAGAAAGGAAAGGAAAGGAAAGAACATGATACATTTTAATGCCTATTGGCCAATGTGGAAAAAACCTGCAATGAAATGGTAAAGGTACAGTGTAGAAAGGAGTCCTCTCACTTATATCTTGATTCTAGGCATGTTGGCTCTGAAACAAATTTCACTGGTTGGGTTCACACAGCACACCAAATCCAATTTCATGATACACAGGAAGATTTTCAAAACAAACTCAAGCAAAAAATATTTGCTAAAGTCCAAACAGTGCATGAGATAGATATAGGCATCTCAGATTTCTTTGCAGGATAGCCAAGAAATACAAAACTATAATAATAGTTGTTTTAGGGAACTTTATTAGCTAGATGAAAACTGAAAGTACCAATAATAGTGCTGGAAATTTAGGAGGACAGAAAAATTTGCCATAAATAAGAACTAAGTCTTTGAGTGTTTGGACAATGGCATAAATCCAAGAATTTCTAAGACTCAAAAAAATAGTGCCCAGGCATACCCTAATTCTTTTGGCTGAATAGACGTAGTTAAGGAATGTTTCCATATGCTGTCTTTATATATGTAGTCTCCCAAAGGAGAAAAATTCTCAAATGAAAAAACCTTCAGATTATTCTTGAACTGAGATGTCTCAGTTAGCCAAAACAATAACAATGAGGATATGAGAAACTGGTAATCGTGGGTCAAACCTAAAGGTTTCTTGTGGTGCAATTAAAATTGGACTGCAATACCTCATCTTGAGTTCCTGAGGAAAGATGAGATATAAATCAAATAATTAACAATATGGGAGCTACTTTCATATAATAGTTAGGGCACAAGGCTAGAAACTGAAAGACTATGGATTTTAGACCTTAAGCTATACCCGGGAAGATATTGGAAAAGATAATAAAAAAACAGATAATAAGAAAACAGATCTGCGAACATCTAGAAACAAGTAAAGAATAACTAGCAGTCAGCACGGGTTTGTTAAGAACAGATCATGCCAAACCAATCTTATTTCATTCTTCAACAAAGTGACTAAATTAGTAAGCAGCAAAATACTGTGGACATAATATATTTAGATTTCAGCAACCTATTTCTTAGTAAGCTAGAAAAAAGTGGAATAGATAGCACCATCTCTAGATGGACTCGCAACTGGCTGACAAACCGTACTCAACGAATAGTCCTTTATGAGTCTAAGTCTACATGGAGAGAAGTAAGCAGTGGGGTGCCACAAGGTTCTGTCTTAGGCCCAATACTCTTCAATATCTTCATTAACGACTTAGATGAGGGAATAGAAGGGGAACTTACCACATTTTCAGATGATACTAAGCTGGCAGGAATAGCTAACACCCAAGAAGATGGGCTCAAGATCTAGATGGATCTTGACAGACTAGAACACTGGGCCATATCTAACAAAATGAAATTCAATGTAGAGAAAAGTAAAGTCCTACACTTAGGCAAGAAAAACCAAAAGTATACACATTGATTGGGTGAAACCAGGTTCAATAGCAGTAACTG